GAAGTGGTACAAACAAAGTGGTCAGTGTTTTTAAAAGTGGATTTAGGACCGACAACAGAAGTGTGAGAGGCTATATCAGGACAAGTATAATAACGTTTGCGAGAGCAGCGAAAAGTACCAGGTTCTTTGTCAGAGGGAAGAACTCCCTTGACCAAGAAAGAACGAAGATTACGATCACGTTTATAAGAGAAAAAAAAGGGCGGTTGTTGAAAATAGCAGAAGTGCGAGTATCAGAGTCAAGAAGAGAAACGTTGCGTTTAACCAAGGGCGGATCCAGCCAAAATTTTAGGGGGGGGGGGCTAATTGAGTTTAGGGGGGGGGGCTAATTGAGAGGAAGACGAAGAAATTGCGAGAACGGAATAGCGTTAAGAGTGTGCTTAGGATGAGAGGACGAGTAGAGTAAATAAGAATGATAGTCAGTAGGTTTGTAATGGACACTAGTGCTAAGACGGTCGTCATTAACACTGAGTAAGATGTCAAGGAAAGTGATTGATGTTTCACTAACCTCCCACGTAAAGTCTAAGGCTGGGTGAAAAGAGTTAACAAAAGAGATGAAAGAATCTAAGTCATTACGAGAACAAGAACTAATACCCCATTCGCACCAAGGCTTAAACATGTTTTAAAGTGGTTTAATTAAACAGGTTTGGAAAACTATCTACGAAAACTGCACAATATTTGGTGAAATAATGCATGTAAACTATCCTTTGTCTTGCTCTGATAATATTTTAGAAAGTTTTATTATATATTGTAGGTTTCTAGTTTCTCAATTTTTTTCTTAATGAAAACATAGTTTAACTAGTTTAACACGTTTAGGTGTGAATGGGGTATAAGTAGCACCAATACAATCATCAATATACCGTCTAAAAACTCAGGTTTAGGTCCAGTATACTGTTGCTTATTGAGTGAAATACTAGGTAAAAATGAAATAATAATACAATAGACGGTTGAAGCGCCTCAATTTCGCCGACGTTGTCGCCCGCGTTGCCGTCCTGCAGCTTAAGGTCCCTAATACCGGCCGATCACCGAAAGAAAACAATTAAGAGTGAGAACAAGTTCAGCTAAGTGGGAGTACTAGACTAGAGGACAGAACGAAGATGGAAAAAATGCTGAAGGGCACTAAGGCCCTCATCATTAGGAATGACAGTATACAAAGATTTGACATTCATAGTAAACAAAAGCTTGGAAGAGTGATCAGGAAAGCGAAAATCATTAAAAATACTAAGAGCGTGATTAGTATCCTTAATATAAGTAGGTAACGACTGAACAATAGGCAGTATGATAAGTATGATGCTCCGCGCGGGAGCTTCGCTAAAAAATAACCAATCAGCGCGCGAGAAATTTGTAAGCTTCTGTAAAAAAATATTTTTCTTATTGAGCAGATTACAGCGATTCCCACTTGAGCGCACCGCGCGCCGAATTTGTTGATTTTGAAACGTTCGCTAATAAGCCTTTTATCATAGTTTAAGAATCGATTCCATTGCGCATGCGATTTTATCCCGAATTTCTCACCTTCTTTTGTCTAAACCTTCTTTTGTTCTTAATTAAACAAAAGAAGGTGAGAAATTCGGGATAAAATCGCATGCGCAGTGGAATCGATTCTTAAACTATGAAAAGGCTTATTAGCGCGTTCGAAGCGTCAGACAGTCCGTCTCGGTCGGCCAAACGTTGCTCAAAGCGTGAGTGAACGTCTTCTTTGATCGTGAGAACCGCGCGATGGTGTTGTATCAGGTGAAGGTGGAGTATTCTCCACAAAAGTTTATATTGAACCTTTCTGCCGTTTTAAAACCTCAATCAGCTTTAGATCTTCGGCTGAAAGATTACTTGGGTTCCCACCGGAACCATCTTTCGGTTTTTCAGTTAGTTCTGCGCAAAAGCGCTTCCATATTTTTCGAACTGTACTTCTAGTGACTCCAAACTAGTTTGCAACAGTCTGGTAGAAACCCGAAAAAAAGTCCTTTGACGACATCACCACCAAGAACAACAATTTCGTCGATAATTGCTCTTAGAAGACCTGTGTTCAAAGGACGACCAGTTTCGTAGCTAAGGCCAGCTTTACTTAACTTTACATTGTGTTGTGACATTTTCCCAAGAACGCTTTTTAATACGATCTTTTTAATACGATCGAGCAACGTTTGGCCGACCGTGACAGACTGTCTTACACTTCGAACGCGCTAATTAGCGAACGCTTCAAAATCAACAAATTCGGCGCGCGGTGCGCTCAAGTGGAAATCGCTTTAAGATTTCCGTTTTTCCTTCCCGCAAACGGCAAACGTGACCACGTTTTCATCGTTTCCCTACATATCACTTTACCTTTTGCAAACCTTCTCACAAAAGACAAGTATTCTTTTGTTTATCTACTACTTGGACATTTTTGCAATTCCTTTTTACAAATTTTAAAGAATTTTTTAATGGTCAACTGACGTTTCACGTTTGACGTAAACGAGAATCTTAAACTCTCTATTCTTTGTTTTTTAAAACCGTCAGCTTTCTCTATTACTGCCGGTAGCTCAGCCAATCAGAGGCCAGAATTTGTGGTAGACCATATTAGTAGGTTTATACTAACATCACGCAGTTATTCCTACACTATAGTTGGGAGGTGCTTGTCCCAATCTAGCTGAATATTAAGTAACTGAGTGCTGTCAGTAATCTAGTGACAGCCCAGCGTTGTAGCAAAGAAATCTCTCTTAATTTTGGTTGGTTGTTAGATGGCATATAGTTCAAATTCCTTTCTCTGGAATAGAGTACCGATGTGATGATGTCACAAAATTGGTTTTAAATAACTTTAGGATGTTGGTGACATTCTCAGAAACTGCATGTAAAAATATAATATCGTGTGCGGGAATTTCAGACCGATGAAGCAAAAAATAAATAAAAAATAATTTAAAAAAAACGGCTGAGATATAGATAATTTAATACAAAAATATCCCATACACTTTCTCTTATTTGATGCTGGATCTAATGTGATTGTTCAAAATAAGAGAAAATGTATGGGAATATTTGAAGCTTAAATACCCATTATCTCCATTTCTAAAGCTCGTAACAGCCTTCAAGTTGGCAGAAATATAGGCAATGGTGTGTTCTCTTCAAATATCAACATTTCAAAACTGAATGGCAACATTTGAACGAATTTGATAACGTCAAACTTTGGTAGTCTATTGGGAACTAGTCAATTATTAGCTTATGCAGGGGCTCGGAAAAATCCGAGCTCACCTGATAGGATTCGAACCTGTGACCTTCCGGATACCGGTCGGATGCTCTATAAAGCTACAGGGAGACTCATGTGGTTATGGTCACTTAACTGGGTTAGTATGACAAACGGCCTGCATACTGCTAGGCTCGAAATGCTCACGTTGGCACATTTTTCCATCGTGACATGATTGCCGTGATGTAGCTGTTTGTAAAAATAGCAGCCTTAAAGAGGCCTTCCACAGTTCTTTTAAGTGCTCAATCGGTCGACTTTGGACGGCCGTAGCTCTTTTATGCAAGCACGCACCCACAATTTTGAAATTTCACCCACTTTGCCGAAAATTGTCCATTTCATCAATATTATTTTTTTAACATACGTCTGATATTTATTATTTCTTTTACTGTGAAGCGCCGCATGAATTTTAATATGTGCGCTATATAAGTTCCATTACTATTATTATTATTATCAACTGAATTTGATGTTTGCCTTGATGTACGCCGACGGAGATTCAAGGCATTTCATGAGTGAAATCTTGCAGAAAAGTAGCCTGATATCCCCTAAAACATTTGGACGGTCGAGGATATTTTTTCAGGTTATTAATCTTGCAGAGATGTTGTAACAGAAACGACAAATTGTGAATTTTAGTGGCAAAAAGCCCGCCTCAAATATTTCAAAATCGGCCTTTACGATTTTCTCCAAACTTCTTATAAGTCTAGGCAAATGTCTCAATATTAATGTCATTTTAAAGTGCTACTACGACGAAAATCGCTCAAACTTGGATTCAGCTGAAACTTCCTAAGAATACTCTTTAAAGGTCCAATAATCACTGTACGAAGTGTTTTCTCGATATTCAGGACGAAAGTATGATATTTTTACGATTATTTTTTGGAGT